TGTTTTTGTAAGGGGAGGTGATGGCTAATAAATGGTGCTTTTTTGTAAGGGGAGGTGATGGCTAATAAATGGTGTTTTTGTAAGGGGAGGGTGATGGCTAATAAAAATGGTGTTTTGTAAATATGAGGGGAGGGTGATGGCTAATAAATAAGGATAGGTGATGGCTAATAAATGGTGTTTTGTAAGGGGAGGGTGATGGCTAATAAATGGTGTTTTTTGTAAGGAGGGTGATGGCTAATAAATGGTGGAGGTGATGGCTTTTTTAAAGGGGAGGTGATGGCTAATAAATGGTGTTTTTTGATGGCTAATAAATGGTGCTTTTGTAAGGGGGGGTGATGGCTAATAAATGGTGCTTTTTTGTAAGGGAGGAGTGATGGCTAATAAATGTTGTTTTTGTAAGGGAGGGTGATGGCTAATAAATGGTGCTTTTGTAAGGGAGGGGCCTGATGGCTTTTAGATAAAAATGGTGCTTTTGTAAGGGAGGGTGATGGCTAATAAATGGTGTTTTGTAAGGGGAGGGTGATGGCTAATAAAAAGGTGCTTTTGTAAGGGGAGGGTGATGGCTAATAAATGGTGGTTTTGTAAGGGGAGGTGATGGCTAATAAATGGTGTTTTGTAAGGGAGGGGTGATGGGTGAAGGAGGGGTGATGCTAATAAAAAGGTGCTTTTTTAAGGGAGGTGATGGCTAATAAATGGTGCTTTTGTAAGGGGAATGGGGTGTTTTGTATGGTGATGGCTAATAAAAGGTGTTTTGTAAGGGAGGGTGATGGCTAATAAATGGTGTTTTTGTAAGGGGAGGTGATGGCTAATAAAAAGTGCTTTTTTAAGGGAGGGTGATGTAATAAAAGTTTTTTGTAAGGGGAGGTGATGGCTAATAAATGGTGCTTTAACAGGAGGGTGATGGCTAATAAATGGTGTTTTTTAAGGGGAGGGTGATGGCTAATAAATGGTGCTTTTGTAAGGAGGGTGATGGCTAATAAATGGTGTTTTTAAAGGTTTTTTTGTAAGGGAGGGTGATGGCTAATAAAAGGTGTTTTTTGAGGGGTGATGGCTAATAAATGGTGTTTTGTAAGGAGGGTGATGGCTAATAAATGGTGTTTTTGTAAGGGGAGGGTGATGGCTAATAAATGGTGTTTTTTAAGGAGGAGATGGCTGATACTAAAATGGTGATTTTGTAAATGGTGAGGGTGATGGCTAATAAAAAGGTGCTTTGTAAGGGGAGGTGATGGCTAATAAATGGTGTTTTGTAAGGGGATGGTGATGGCTAATAAATGGTGTTTTTGTAAGGGAGGGTGATGGCTAATAAATGGTGCTTTAAGGGGAGGGTGATGGCTAATAAAAGAGGGTGATGGCTAATAAATGGTTCTTTTGTAAGGGGATGGGTGATGGCTAATAAAAGGTGCTTTTTAAGGGAGGGTGATGGCTAATAAATGGTGCTTTTGTAAGGGAGGTGATGGCTAATAAATGGTGTTTTTGTAAGGAGATGATGGCTAATAAATTGGTGATGGCTAATTTTTTTGTAAGGGGGAGGGTGATGGCTAATAAATGGTGTTTTGTAAGGATGGTGATGGAATAAATGGTGTTTTGTAAGGATGGCTAATAAATGGTTCTTTTGTAAGGGGGGGTGATGGCTAACAAATGGTGCTTTTGTAAGGGGATGGTGATGGCTAATAAATGGTGTTTTGTAAGGGGGGTGATGGCTAATAAATGGTGTTTTTGTAAGGGTAGGGTGATGGCTAATAAATGGTGTTTTGATGGCTAAGGTGTTTTTGTAAGGGAGGTGATGATAATAAATGGATGTTTTTTTGTAGGGAGGTGATGGCTAATAAAAGGTGCTTTTTGTAAGGGGAGGGTGATGGCTAATAAATGGTGGGAGGTTTTGAAGGTGGGTGATGGCTAATAAAAATGGTGTTTTTTGTAAGGGAGGGTGATGGCTAATAAAAGGTGTTTTTGTAAGGGAGGGTGATGGCTAATAAATGGTGTTTTTTGTAAGGGAGGGTGATGGCTAATAAATGGTGTTTTTGTAAGGGGAGGTGATGGCTAATAAAAGGTGCTTTTTGTAAGGGAGGTGATGGCTAATAAATGGTGTTTTTGTAAGGAGGAGATGATGGCTAATAAATGGTGTTTTTTGTAAGGGGAGGTGATGGCTAATAAAATGGTGTTTTTTGTAAGGAGGTGATACACAAAATGGTGTTTTTTGTAAGGGGAGGTGATGGCTAATAAAAGGTGCTTTTGGTAACGGAGGACATGGCTAATAAAATGGTGCTTTTGTAAGGAGGGTGATGGCTTTTTGTAAGGGGAGGTGATGGCTAATAAAAAGGTGTTTTTGTAAGGGGGAGGGTGATGGCTAATAAATGGTGTTTTTGTAAGGAGGGTGATGGCTAATAAATGGTGCTTTTGTGAGAGGTGATGGCTAATAAATGGTGTTTTTGTAAGGGGAGGTGATGGCTAATAAATGGTGCTTTTGTAAGGGGGGTGATGGCTAATAAAATGGTGTTTTTGTAAGGGAGGGTGATGGCTAATAAAATGGTTTTTTTGTAAGGGGGAGGTGATGGCTAATAAAAGGTGCTTTTGTAGGGGAGGGATGGTGGTGCTTTTGTAAGGGAGGGATGGCTAATAAATGGTGTTTTGTAAGGGGAGGTGATGGCTAATAAAAAGGTGTTTTTGTAAGGGGGGGTGATGGCTAATAAAATGGTGTTTTTGTAAGGGGAGGTGATGGCTAATAAAAAAAGTTTTTGTAAGGGAGGTGATGGCTAATAAAAGGTGCTTTTGTAAGGGGGGTGATGGCTAATAAATGGTGCTTTTTAGGGGGGGAAGGGGGTGATGGCTAATAAATGGTGTTTTGTAAGGGAGGTGATGGCTAATAAATGATGTTTTTGTAAGGGAGGGTGATGGCTAATAAATGGTGTTTTTGTAAGGGGAGGTGATGGCTAATAAATGGTGGTGGAGGTGATGGCTTTTATAAGGGGAGGGTGATGGCTAATAAAAATGGTGTTTTTGTAAGGGGAGGGTGATGGCTAATAAATGGTGTTTTTTGTAAGGGAGGTGATGGCTAATAAATGGTGCTTTTTAAGGAGGGTGATGGCTAATAAAATGGTGCTTTGTAAGGGGAGGTGATGGCTAATAAATGGTGTTTTGTAAGGGAGGTGATGGCTAATAAAAGGTGCTTTTTGTTTGGAGGGTGATGGTTAACAAATGGTGTGTTGTAAGGGGAGGGTGATGGCTAATAAATGGTGCTTTTGTAAGGGGAGGGTGATGGCTAATAAATGGTGTTTTTGTAAGGGAGGGGGTGATGGCTAATAAAAGGTGTTTTGTAAGGGGAGGGTGATGGCTAATAAAAGGTGCTTTTGTAAGGGGAGGTGATGGCTAATAAATGGTGTTTTTTGTAAGGGAGGTGATGGCTAATAAATGGTGTTTTTGTAAGGGGGGTGATGGCTAATAAAATGGTGCTTTTGTAAATGGGGTGATGGCTAATAAAATGGTGTTTTTGTAAGGGAGGGTGATGGCTAATAAAATGGTGTTTTTGTAAGGGGAGGGTTTAAAATGGTGTTTTTGTAAGGGAGGGTTTGTAATAAATGGGCTTTTGTAAGGGGGGGTGATGGCTAATAAATGGTGCTTTTTGTAAGGGGAGGGTGATGGTTAATAAAATGGTGTTTTGTAAGGGGAGGTGATGGCTAATAAATGGTGTTTTTTGAAGGGGAGGTGATGGCTAATAAATGGTGCTTTTTGTAAGGAGGGTGATGGCTAATAAATGGTGTTTTTGGCTAATAAAATGGTGTTTTTGTAAGGGGAGGTGATGGCTAATAAATGGTGTTTTTGGGGGGAGGGTGATGGCTAATAAATGTTGTTTTTGTAAGGAGGTGATGGCTAATAAATGGTGTTTTGTGTAATAAATGGAGGGGGTGATGGCTAATAAAATGGTGCTTTTATAAGGGGAGGTGATGGCTAATAAAATGGTGTTTTTTGTAAGGGGAGGGTGATGGCTAATAAATGGTGTTTTTGTAAGGGGATGGCTAATAAATGGGTGATGGCTAATAAATGGTGCTTTTTGATGGTTAAGGAGGTGATGGCTAATAAATGGTGTTTTTGTAAGGGGAGGGGTGATGGCTAATAAATGGTGTTTTGTAAGGGGGGGTGATGGCTAATAAAATGGTGCTTTTGTAAGGGGAGGGTGATGGCTAATAAATGGTGTTTTTTAAGGGGAGGGTGATGGCTAATAAATGGTTCTTTTTAAGGGGAGGGTGATGGCTAATAAAAGGTGCTTTTTGTAAGGGAGGGTGATGGCTAATAAATGGTGTTTTTGTAAGGGAAATGGTTAAAATGGTTTTTGTAAGGGGAGGTGATGGCTAATAAAATGGTGTTTTTGTAAGGGAGGGTGATGGCTAATAAATGGTGGTTTTGTAAGGGGGGTGATGGCTAATAAATGGTGTTTTTGTAAGGGGAGGGTGATGGCTAATAAATATGGTGTTTTTGTAAGGAGGGTGATGGCTAATAAATGGTGATGGCTTAAATGGTGCTTTTGTAAGGGAGGGTGATGGCTAATAAATGGTGTTTTTGAAGGAGGGTGATGGCTAATAAAATGGTGTTTTTGTAAGGGAGGTGATGGCTAATAAAATGGTGCTTTTGTAAGGGGAGGGTGATGGCTAATAAATGGTGCTTTTGTAAGGGGAGGTGATGGCTAATAAATGGTGTTTTTTGTAAGGAGGGTGATGGCTAATAAAAGGTGCTTTTGTAAGGAGGGTGATGGCTAATAAAACGGTGTTTTTGTAAGGGGAGGGTGATGATGGCTAATAAATGGTGCTTTTGTAAGGGGAGGGTGATGACTAATAAATGGTGTTTTGTAAGGGAGGGTGATGGCTTTGTTTTGTAAGGGAGGGTGATGGCTAATAAATGGTGTTTTGTTTGGCTAACAGGAAGGGTAGGGTGATGGCTAATAAATGGTGTTTTGTAAGGGGGGGTGATGGCTAATAAATGGTGTTTTTGTAAGGGGAGGGTGATGGCTAATAAAAGGTGTTTTTTGTAAGGAGGGTGGTGATGGTGTTTTGAAGGAGGGTGATGGCTAATAAAATGGTGTTTTTGTAAGGGAGGTGATGGCTAATAAATGGTGTTTTGAAGGGGAGGGTGATGGCTAATAAAAGGTGCTTTTGTAAGGGAGGGTGATGGCTAATAAAACGGTGCTTTTGTAAGGGGAGGTGATGGCTAAGGGGAAGGAGGGTGATGGCTAATAAATGGTGTTTTTGTAAGGGAGGGTGATGGCTAATAAAAGGTGCTTTTGTAAGGGGAGGGTGATGGCTGTTTTTTTGTAAGGGGAGGGTGATGGCTTTAAATGGTGTGCTTTTGTAAGGAGGGTGATGGCTAATAAATGGTGTTTTGTAAGGAGGTGATGGGCTAATAAAAGGTGTTTTTTAAGGAGGATGGCTAATAAATGGTGCTTTTGTAAGGGGGGGTGATGGCTAATAAATGGTGTTTTGTAAGGAGGGTGATGGCTAATAAAATGGTTTTTTGTAAGGGGAGGGTGATGGCTAATAAAAGGTGAAGGGGGAGGGGTGATGGCTAATAAAAATGGTGTTTTTGTAAGGAGGGTGATGGCTAATAAAAGGTGGTGGGAGGGTTTTTGTTTTGTAAGGGAGGGTGATGGCTAATAAATGGTGTTTTTGTAAGGGAGGGTGATGGCTAATAAATGGTGTTTTTGTAAGGGTAGGGTGATGGCTAATAAATGGTGCTTTTGTAAGGGAGGGTGATGGCTAATAAAAGGTGCTTTTTTAAGGAGGGGCTGATGGCTAATAAATGGTGCTTTTGAAGGGAGGGTGATGGCTAATAAATGGTTTTTGTAAGGAGGTGATGGCTAAAAATGGTGCTTTTGTAAGGAGGGTGATGGCTTTTAATAAATGGTGCTTTTGTAAATGGGAGGGGTGATGGCTAATAAATGGTGCTTTTGTAAGGGAGGGTGATGGCTAATAAATTGTGCTTTTGTAAGGGGAGGGTGATGGCTAAATAAAGGGTGATAAATGGTGCTTTTGTAAGGGAGGGTGATGGCTAATAAATGGTGGTTTTTGTAAGGGAGGGTGATGGCTAATAAAAGGTGCTTTTTGTAAGGAGGGTGATGGCTAATAAATGGTGCTTTTTGTAAGGGGAGGGTGATGGCTAATAAATGGTGTTTTTGTAAGGGGAGGTGGGTGGCTAATAAATGGTGTTTTTAAGGGGAGGGTGAATTAATAAATGGTGCTTTTGTAAGGGGAGGTGATGGCTAATAAATTGTTCTTTTAAGAGGAGGTGATGGCTAATAAATGGTTCATTTGTAAGAGGAGGGTGATGGCTAATAAATGGTGCTTTTGTAAGGGAGGGTGATGGCTAATAAATGGTGCTTTGTAAGGTGAGGGTGATGGCTAATAAATGGTGCTTTGTAAGAGGAGGGTGATGGCTAATAAATGGTGTTTTTTGTAAGGGGAGGGTGATGGCTAATAAAATGGTGCTTTTGTAAGGGAGGGTGATGGCTAATAAAAGGTGCTTTTGTAAGGGGAGGGTGATTGCTAATAAATGGTGTTTTTAAAGGGGTGGGTGATGGCTAATAAATGGTGTTTTTTGCAAGGAGTGTGATGGCTAATAAATGGTGTTTTTGCAAGGGGAGGGTGATGGCTAATAAATGGTGCTTTTGTAAGGGGAGGGTGATGGCTAATAAATGGTGCTTTTGTAAGGTGAGGGTGATCGCTAATAAATGGTGCTTTTGTAAGGGGTGGGTGATGGCTAATAAATTGTGCTTTTGTAAGGGGAGGGTGATCGCTAATAAATGGTGCTTTTGTAAGGGGAGGGTGGTGGCTAATAAATGTTTTTTTTGTCAGGGGAGGGTGATGGCTAATAAATTGTGTTTTTGTAAGGGGAGGGTGATGGCTAATAAATGGTGCTTTTGTAAGGGGAGGGTGATGGCTAATAAATGGTGCTTTTGTAAGGGGAGGGTGATGGCTAATAAATGGTGCTTTTGTAAGTGGAGTCTGATAGCTAATAAATGGTGCTTTTGTAAGGGGAGGGTGATGGCTAATAAATGGTGCTTTTTTAAGTGGAGGGTGATGGCTAATAAATGGTGTTTTTGTTAGGGGGGTGATGGCTAATAAAAGGTGTTTTTTAAGTGGAAGGTGATGGCTAATAAAAGGTGTTTTTTAAGTGGAAGGTGATGGCTCATAAATGGTGTTTTTGTAAAGGGAGTTGGGTAATGAATGTTGTAAGGGGGGAGATGGCTAATTAATGTTGTAAGAGGATGGAGATGGCTAATATGTTGTAAGGGGGTGTAAAGGGAGGGATAAAAGATCATATATATTGAGAATATGTAGGATAGGTAACAGTTAAGCTTCGATTTGTATAGGTTAAGTGTGTAGTGTTCAAGGAATTATCGTCTGAGGAGTCCTTTTCACATTGTACAAATTATGGGGAAGAATCCGTCTGAGTGGTACTTCCTCATTACCAATGGAATCTGAAGGAAATGGGGGATGCTTCGACTCAGTGTATGTGGGGCCAAAGAATGTATTTCGCTCAAACATTTGCCATGAAAATAGCGATAGAATAGCAAGAGGCTAGCAACGTTTCTTTCGTGGGAAAGGAGTTGAATGGTGGGAAAACATTCATCACTCAAAAGGCCGCGTTAAGCGTCTTGAGCCCGGTCATGGCTGTAAAATGTAGTTGTCGTTATCAGCTTTTCCATAATTTGGAACTCTTTATTTTCATAAACCGACTAAATTGGTTAATTCATCATATTTTGCAGAATCCAGCACTGAAGAAAGAATTCCTCCATCAGCAAGAAAAAATCTTGCAAAAGCGCCAATCACGTTGATGTCAAATTCTGCCTCTTGTCGAATCAATTGTTATTGTTTCAATAAATTCCGGTGCTTTTGTTGTAAGATGTCGCATTTGAGTATCAAATAATGTATCTTCATAACCCATTTGCAAATAAGTATAAACATTTTATTGAGAACATTCAACAATAAACTACATGAATTGTTTTTATTAGACTGACACTGAAGATGTGCGTTTCTCTTTCTGATATGTCCCGGAAAGGGATATATTTGTTTGAAGTAGCAAAGTGGTTGTTGACTCCTGTAACTGGGTAGGACAATCTAGCAGGTAACCGTAATGGACTGGTCCTCATCATAATGGTAGGCAATAGGCGAAGACAATAGGCGAAGACAATAGGCATTGTCTGTACCTCCACATCAGTCTGTATTTATGGCTGACACTAGCCAGTCATATTATTGTGAGGGGGAACCTAGGTGTATGCATATTCATTACATCAGATTCTTTTCTAAATCTTTTAATCAAACAATTATATATGTAGAGACGTTGAGTAAATGATCGAATGAATTTTAATCAATCTTCAAAGAATAATAGACGATTCACACTGATAAAACAAAAATAAATTGAAATGGTGTCCAGACACCAAAACATCTTTTTTAGGTGAATCTGAAAATGACTACTTTTTCTTGGTTAGCTACCATTTTTACTGTACAGAAATGCCTCATTTTTTTTTAATAAGCTTTTTTTTTCATTTGTTTTCTGTATATATGTTATTGGCCGATGGCAATATTCCTCAAAATAAAATCGTATAAACCTCTCAATTCGTATTTAAACCAACAAATATTAGAAATACTATTTTTGCAATAACAATCAGACCCTAAGTCTTTAAAATAACACGATTGAATATACCAAGACCATTAATTATTTTCATTAAATCAATTAATAAACTAACAGCAGAAATAAAACCTTCGTGAACATAAGAACTATGGTAAATATTTTCTCATTCTTGATTGTCTGTCAAGTTCAATGTTATTTAAGTCCCTTTTGATACTCCAGCAGTATCATGTACAATGGAATAGGTGCATTCAATTCGGATGTCTTTAGTTGGAATTTCTTTCCAACTGTGAAAACAAAATGCTCTCAATGTACTCGGTTTCCTTATGTAATGAAGGGATAAAAGTGATGGGATCGATTTATGAATATCAAACAGAAGATTTTAGGCTTTAATTTTTTAATGTCACCTTAATTAGCAGGTTTACTAAAGTGTATTGCTGATACATTTTATCAGTTAATTTGAATTTTGGCGATAAATTGGAAAACTTCGGTACAACTGTTTTAAAATTGTTGACTCAAAAACACGTTTTTTTTATAAAAATAGTTTATTTCAGATGGCTGACATAAATTGCTCGGGCTACCTGAAAATTGATGGGTTTCTACAACTAACTAAATTTTGCCATCAGCTAAGATCGTAAATTGACCTTTTTTCCCCAAAATGAGCAATTTCAGTGCAGCACAAACGGTAGCTAACCTTGAAAAACTAAGGTCATTTCCGGAATCAGCACCATGAAATTAGCTAAAAAAAGAAACGTTTTGTTTTTTGACACCAAAAATCGTGTTGACCAGTGTTATTATTACTTCTAGATAAGTAACTTTTAAGTTGCAAATTGGCGCAGTTGGTACGTAATAAGCTTGGAATCCTGGTCGCAGATGTTGATGTCCCTTTGACGGTCATAGAATTGGAAAAGCCATGAATTTAAACTCTATACTAACGATCACCTGTACTATGTTCGCTGGTTGAGTAAAATGCACTAATAATTATGTATGGTTATATGGTTATTCACTTATGACAATCTAAAACTAAACAAATAAAATTTGGAAACAGTCTCTGACATATACAGTTTGTGATGGTCAGAGTGAAGGCTCTTAGGCTTAGACTCTCTTCAGGAGTATCTCTCACTCTCTCTCTCTCTCTCGCTCTCTGAATTGATAAAGATCAGGTTTTCAAATAAATGGATTAAATTTGGATTTGAAATGAAATAATAAAAACACAAGATAAAATCATTTCAAATAAACGAACTGATGTCAGAGTTAACCTTCATTCGTATCACTGGCTATACATTTTGTCTCTATTAAAGTTTAAACTTTTCCAATTTATCTATTACTGGCAGCATGGCCCGGCGTTGCCCGTGCTTGATTAAAAAATCGTACGACTCATACAGCAATCGCTATCACTTGACTTAAAATATTTTTGCCCTTCCTTGCCTTTAAACGAGTGCCCTTTGCCGTGCCGATGTTGCTACATGCCTTACTTCTTGCCTATCTCACACTGCGAATTTTTTCTAGGCTCTATACTAAACATTAAATCTGTTACGAAAAAAGACCTAAACAAAATGAACACAAAACGATCAGCCTTAAAAAAGGACTCATAACTGGAAAAACCGAATGAAAAAAGAATGTTAACAACAAATATTTTTTCACACCCAACCCAGTTCTGCGGAATCAGAATCAACGTTGAGTTTAAGCAAGCGAATGAGCCAATTGGAGTAAAGTGCCATGCAGATTTAAATTTTTCCCACTTCTGATGAATGCAGCTATCGATTTTTTTTGCATGCTAGCATGCTAGTTTACATTCATGTCAGTCAGCTGTTGGCTCTCACGCTGGCCAATAGAATCTTCCTGCCTATTCGTGGCAGCCAGCTATAGGCTCTCACTCTGGTCAGTAGAAAATGGCCGCAAACTACATGAAAACTGTCGTAGAAGCATGAAAAATCGATTATTTCCACTATCGATGGGAGTTGGGAGATGCAAAGTCGATCTGGGCTTTCTCGCTAACTTAGAGCATGTGCATGTAAATTTTGGTGCAAATCCGTCGAAAATTGCGGCCGTGCGTTCGTTACACACACACACATCCTGCCTTTTATCGATAGAGATTAAATATGCACATCAAATTCAAAATGGCCGATTGAAAAGCAATATGTTTACGGTCATTGCAAGTCCATTAATTTAATGTATATCCATTCTTTTGATTTAAATAAGCCGATAAAAAAGCACAATATAATTGAATAATCATTTCTTTTAATTGGAAAAATGAACAGGTAACCTTGAGATATTTGGGATGAATACGGATAGAAAATCGATTCATTAAATATACAAAAATAGAAAGGGGTATAAGACAAGGCTGTGTCGTCTCACCGGACTTTATATATTGAGGCGTTTCTGAGAGAATAAGAAGTCCTACGGGATTCATTAGTGGCGGGCCACAATCTTAATAAAATGCTATACAGTTGACACAGTACTGATAGCAGACATAGAAAAGCAACTACAAGAAAGTAGTGAAGGAAAGCAAGAAGAAAGGACTAAAGCAAAAAGAACAGCACAACATGCAAATTACAAATTGGTGATACAGAAAGCAAACATGTTCAATCATTTACATATGTGGGAAGTGTTTTTAACACAAAGAAACTACCACACTAAAATCCGAATGCGCATTTGGATAGCAAAAGATGCCTTCCAAAAGTTAAGCAAAGTATTAAGAAACAGGAAAATTTCGTTAGAAACAAAGAAAAGAGTACTGAACTCTTACGTAATATCCGTCCTCTTCTCTGGTAGTGAATGTTGGGCAATCTCCTCACAGATGAAGAAGGGATTTGAAGCAACAGAAATGTTGTTCTACAGAAGGATGCTGAGAATATTATGGACCGAATATAAGAACAACAACGAAGTTTTAGAGAAAATGTAAACAAATAGTAAACTTATACTTAAAATCAGAAAGAAACTATTGAAATTTCTAAGGCATTGGAAAAGAGAAAAGGGTGGTTGGAAAATGAGATACTCACGGGACTGATTGAAGGCAAGAAGGATAGAGGAAAACAACGCATAACCCCTGCTTAACGAGCTTGAGTGAATGAATGACAGAAGAGGGTTTAGGAAAGATAAACAAAAAGACAAAAAATTATTATGAGCTGCAAGTGACAGTAAGTTATGGAGAGCCGTGGTCACCAACATCCTGAACGGACACAGCAAGAAGAAGAAGGAGGAGGAGGAGGAAGAAGAAGAAGAATTAGGAAGAGGAGGAGGAGGAAGAAGAAGAAGAAGGAGGAGGAGGAAGAGAAGGAGGAGGAGGAGGAGGAAGGAGAAGGAGAAGGAGGAAGAAGAAGAAGAAGAAGAAGGAGGAGGAGGAGGAAGAAGAAGGAGGAGGAGGAGGAGGAGGAAGGAGGAGAAGGAAGAAGAAGAAGAAGAATTAGGAAGAGGAGGAGGAGGAAGAAGAAGAAGAAGAATTAGGAAGAGGAGGAAGAAGAAGAAGAAGGAGGAGGAGGAGGAAGAGAAGAAGGAGGGGGAGGAGGAAGAGAAGAAGGAGGGGGAGGAGGAAGAAGGAGGATGAGGGGGAGAAGGAGGAAGGAGGAGGAGGAAGTAGAAGGAGAAGGAGAAGGAAGAAGAAGAAGAAGAAGACGAGGACGACATTGGTTATTTCCAAAGAGTTTATCGTTAAATGTGATTAAAGGAGGAAAAAAAAACAATTGTTTATTGGGCAATTTGGTAAGATTTGGGGACTTGGTTAAAAACCGAAGGATTTTAATTCAAGCATAATGTTCCTGCAAATGTGTCGGGAATTCGTTACGACGTATGTATGACGTTTACTAAGTTTAATGCATTTCTTTCGCAAATACATTTTCATAAAAATAAATGAAACTCATAATTTACATTTTTGACTGATTTTATTTCGAGGGATTATCTTATGAACAGTATTGATTATCCAGTGTCTGTACTTTCATATGCATTCATTAAATGAGTGTTTTAACGCTCAGGTGTCGAATAACAAGTGCAAATATGGTGACACAAGGGCGAAACCCAATTTTCTCACGTTGCCGAATTAAAATCAAATTTAATACAATGTTTCGATTAATTAATAGTGGAATTTTTCGAGAGGAATTTGTGCACCACCTGGCGTCATTCCTCTTTTAGACGATAAAAAAGGGCCCATGTAATCAGTTAATGCACGCATGCGTGCTCAAGGCAAAAATGTGGGATTGATTTTGATTTATCAAAACACATTGTCATCTTAGTTCATCAAATCAAGTGAATTAAGATGATTTCGAATTAAATGCCACACACATGGCAACCCCGAGCTAGTCTTTGCAGTTGGATTTTTTTAATCCTTAGTAATTTCGATATCATAATAGGAAGGCTTGAAACATTTCTTCTATTTTCGGTTTTGATTCTAAATACTTCTTAAGCAAACCTACCAAGAAACATGCAAATTTCAGCATTCAAAAGGTTCTTCTTGACTGTGGATTACGCATGTAAAATATTTGCGTGAATTTCGAGTAATTTACATTGTATAAACTTTATTAGTCTTTCAAAAGCTTTGATTGTTGTTACTGAGTTTCGAAATCGCTATAAATAGTTTGTAATATTAACTTAGACAAACGTTTTCATAGCGTAACTAGCTCTAAAAAAAATGCATATAACTGTCGCATATTCACTTAACGTCAACTTCGGTATGAGCAGGTGTATTTACACTGATGCTGATCTAATATTAAATAAGCTTGTCTCACAAGCCATCGTTAGTGAATTCATTGCTTCAAGGTTCTCAAATAACTGTCGATGTAATATCAGCCGATATAACCACGATTTGAACTCGGGTCGTGGATAATGTTCTTCACGTTTTCGTTTATCGATTATTAAAACTTCTGGATTAGGAAATATTTGAATGAAAAGTTTGAAAAGCATTGAAGCAAATTGTAAGTAGGCACATAATAACACCCATTATTTTATTTTGTTTGTCGACCATTTGACTAAATGGGCCTCTGGAAGAAATAAGAACGAGAAATTATGCGAAGCAAAGAGATAGGTTTTGTAGACGAGAAGAAAAAATAGCGGGAAGAGCAACGTATTTGGCTGGTGTTCTTGGGGATTGTCCAATAGTGTACAAAGTTCACCGAATGGGAAAATATAGATAACAAGTTTTGAGAGCAATGGTAAATAAAGGGGCGCATACTACGACAATCGGTCAGAAAGTAATGCCTATTCTAATTTTATTTTTAAACTATCAGAATTCATTAAAGTTTGTATCTATTTATTGGCTATCAACCAATATGTATCTAGAAGCCACGAAAAAAAAGAAATATCTACACTTTACTTACTCGTGATCATCTTTCAAAATGGCTGCCCCTTTGGGTACACATAGAAAGCAAATAGCTGTTATAGAATTTTCTGTAAGTTTTACGATGGAAAACGTGCTGCAAAGATACACTTTTAGGGAATCGGCTAAATTTGATGCAATCACAGGAGATAAGTCAGATGAGTTAGTGACAATCCTTGTGATAATAGAAGATTTGCGAAGAAAGGTTTTCTACTTTATCACTCATTTTCCTAACATTTTTCTGATATATAAAAAATTATATATCATCTTCTCCTATAAACTGAAAATTGTAAGCTTCTCAGTAAAGGATTATACCGTTTAGCCGAACAATCCTTGCCTATAATCCTGACTCTACGTCCTCAAACTTTCATCTGTTTTGATCCATGAAGGACATTGGTTCTTTAATGCTAATGAGGGGAAAAGGCAACTAGAGAAGAAGAAGAAGAAGAAGAAGAAGAAGAAGAAGAAGAAGAAGAAGAAGAAGATACTTTTGACCGACCCTTGTAAAGGGGTAAGTACAAGAAAACAAGTGGTTATCTGCCATTCATCTGTCATACGAAAGGCGGATAAAAAGAGAACCACAGTGTGGAATTGAACATTTCCATAATTTTTATTCTCGCTTATCAACCTGAAATTCAGGAAGGAACGAGGGATTTTTTTTCCTTTTCTTCTGTTATCTACTTAGAGGTTTGCTTCCGTCTTTGCATATAAAATGGAAAAGCGACGTTGCCTTTGGCGCGTTCCTTTTCATTAAAGCTTTCTTTTTGATTCGCACGCCCATTTCCTCGAATTTCCTCCCTGCTAAATACGTTTTTCTTCGTTTATAATTTTCAAAAAATAAGGTGAATTTATAGAGTTCAATCTGTCCATATAAGACATTAGTTTTAACGCAATTGTAATAACCAAAGTAAAAAGACAAAAGGGTTTACACTTCAGTTATTAGTGAGAAAATATTAATCCAATAAATTAGCATTAATTAACCTGTTTTTTTTCTAATTTAACAACACACCCTTGCATACAGCCTATAAAATCGACACATACCAAGACTTGCAAAAAACGCAAAGGTAAAAGGATTGCCTTTTTTTTTAAAGACCTATGATTAAATATGTTTTAATTGCATTTTAAGTGAAACCTTTTTGTATCTATAGAAAATTATGTTAGAGATTTTATCTTGAAAGTTCTTGGCTGACATGTAATAAATCACAACTCCTTTAAGAGTTTAGACATTGTAAGAATGTATCAATTTTGTAGAGATGACTTATTACTTCCACCTGAAAAAATAGAATTGAAAGATTTTTTGGAAGCGCGCCAGCACTTGGTATTATGAAACTTGCCAAAGAACATTGATCTCGCTTATTGATTTCATTTATTGATTTCATTTATTGATTTCACTTATTGATCCAATGCGCTAATCGGTTGTCTGTAATTTTTCTCGTTTATATAAATTAATGACAAAACAGAAGTCAAACTCTTGCGTCTTGTCATGTTTTCCCGCCATTTTCCTGATTGTCAATTGAAACAACATTTTCTCACTAATATCAATTACTTAAAAGACTCTAATTGCTTCGTCGACAATTAATCACTTAAGGAGTCTGAAAGCTTTTAATGAGATTGGATTGTGAAACTATTGATGAAAATCGATTGCCCAGAGAGATTGAACTGTATTAATTATTCAATGTCGAATGTAATACACTGGAATCCATTCGGTTGAGATAACATTGGCAAATTCATTAACACAACAGTCGATCAAATGGAATGACCACAACATGTAATAACATTGCAGCCTATTTTACTTTCGAAATGACAAGAGTTTAGAAAATCGAAAATGGCGTCCAATTTTCATTGATATTAAAACGGGCATTTCTTACGGATATTATTTTTTTTTTTCATTTAGAATTTCTTCAGATATAAAGTTTTTAGAAAAAGTCGTCGTTCTGTAATATTTGTTCAATCTCTGATTCAGTAAAAGGAAACTTTCCCCCTGTCGTGTATGCGTCTAAAAAAATAAATAATAAAAAATACACTATATTATGTAACTCTAGTCGGGGATACAACTAAAGATGGATAACTTGGAACTATTTACATTATTTATATTTTCCGGACTGTTGCCTTATTCACGACGTTTCGGTCGTTATACGCTCCGGCCTTCTTCAGAGGATTGGAACTTCGAACCGAACCCTTAATTTCGTCCATCGAGTTAGATTGTTCTAGTTTCACCTGCAATGTCTCTTCCAGATCTCAGTTATCTCCCTTGAACACAACTCTCCAAGTGTTTTCTGCTGTAGCCAGATATTGAACTCACAACTCTTTGGGTCAAGTCACTGGATCCAACTAAGGCTTTAATCTACTGGACCATGTGACCTTGAGGATAAACTTGGAACTGATTTTCATTGGCTGTTGACAGTGGAATAAATTCAGAATATATTTCTCTGAATATCGTTTAATTTAAATTATTTAAATTTGTCCATTTTTTATGTTTAATTAATTAAATTCGCAATTATAATGACTGTTTAAAACCGATCTTAAAATAATTGGCCAGGTCTGATATTATTTTTTTTTTAATATAAGGACAGGTAGAACTCCATAAGTTCACCTTATTTTTCGAAAGTTATAAACGTATTTGGAATAGAGGGAGTTCGAGGAAATGGGCGTGCGAATCAAAAAGAAAGCTTTAATGAAAAGGAACGCGCCAAAGGCAACGTCGCTTTTCCATTTTATATGCAAAGACGGAAACAAACCTCTAAGTAGATAACAGAAGAAAAGGAAAAAAAATCCCTCGTTCCTTCCTGAATTTCAGGTTGATAAGCGAGAATAAAAATTATGGAAATGTTCAATTCCACACTGTGGTTCTCTTTTTATTCGCCTTTCGTATGACAGATGAATGGCAGATAACCACTTGTTTTCTTGTACTTACCCCTTTACAAGGGTCGGTCAAAGAGTAATACTTCTTCTTCTTCTTCTTCTTCTTCTTCTTCTTCTTCTTCTTCTTCTCTAGTTGCCTTTTCCCCTCATTAGCATTAAAGAACCAATGTCCTTCATGGATCAAAACAGATGAAAGTTTGAGGACGTAGAGTCAGGATTATAGGCAAGGATTGTTCGCCTAAACGGTATAATCCTTTACTGAGGAGCTTACAATTTTCAGTTTATGGGAGATGATATATAATTTTTTATATATCAGAAAAATGTTAGGAAAATGAATGATAAAGTAGAAAATCTTTCTTCGCAAATCTTCTATTATCACAAGGATTGTCATTAACTCATCTGACTTATCTCCTGTGATTGCACCAAATTTATCTGATCTATAAATATTCACTAACAG